GATCCCGCTACAACAGAACCATCCCTCAGGTCATACTTAATTACGATTCAATATCGCATCGTCCACTACCAAATCTTATCATCGTACACTAACTTGTGCCGAATACTAGACTATAAGCTTTCCCACACTTAATATTTAAGCCACAGCACAGCAGCCTTATGACGACACCGGTGCAGACTGTACATTGTACACGCACGTAACCTCACGCCGTATTGCTACGCTGCAACATAGCAGCCTTATAACACAACCTGTACAGACTGTACAGTGTACACGCACGCCAACACAGCAGCCATATATCATAACACATCCTGTGCCGACTGAGCACGCAGCCCTACACTACAGTTTCGACTACAGTATAACCGCTTGACAATCAGCATTTTGTCTCAATGCGATGCTTGTTTTCGATACGATGGGGCTCCGCTCCCGGGATTTCATAGCCGCATTCTGTTGATGAACTTAAATTATCCCTATCTCGTTACCTTTTCACTCATTTTACGCTCTACTGATGTTGCTTACTTGCATGGTTGAATAATTGGAGTGACTCATTTATACAAAAAAGTTTGTTCTATCAATTCATTGTTTAACGGCAAATAATTCATTAATGTCTAAAATTTCGCTGTTGATAAGCAAAAACAACGTCGTTTTTTAATTGGGTTCAGAGAATCAAGTTTGGCGGGAAAATGCTATTGTGCTAGAATGATCTAATTGACAGAGCAAGGCCAATTTAATAACTTTTAAGACTTATGGTGTTGCTCATAAAATTCGACTCCACAGATTTGCTATGCGTATACACGCTATTTTTTTGGTTATTCTGCACTCAAACAAATCAATTGGTTATTTGGTCTAAATAATGACTCACTTTCTACTCATACAACTGATACTTGCCGAACCAAACTGAGTCTTGAGGACCCACAAGAGAGCAGGAAGTGCATCGTTATTCGGACGAAGTTCCTCATTCCTCTGTGAGTGTAGACGGCTGCATAATAAGCGTATAATAGAACTTGAACATTGCAAATGAAAAGGAAAAACCGATAAGCAGCCTTAAATATAATGTCAATAAGATTGCTCAGTGGAACTATTAACAAACTTCGCGCATTTAATGATGTCTGATAACAAGCTACTGTGCGCTTAAATTCTTGCAGACATGTTATATGACGCGCTCTTTATTTTATTCATATACAATTAAAATTTCGTCAATTGCAGCTACAATTTTTATCAGAGCAAGCAACTCCAATTACAATAAGGATTTGAATTAATACGCCTTGTTAATTCATGAAGCATAATTTATAAATGGTGAAGGAATGAATATTAACGTTTTCAAACATTTAATTCTATCCTCATCAGCTTGGACAGCTATACAATAATATGCGTTTGAAAATCACATTTTAAATACAACACTTCTTAAGAGGCCAGTGACTCCGATGTTACACATGTACAATGAATATCTTATTTTATTTCAAATATTTAAAAAATATGTATTTTCAAAATTTTTGTTAATATGTAAAAAAATTCAAAATTATTTATTCTGTCAATATTGATTTTCGTGCATTTTCTCCGACCTTCCCCGAGTGTGCAAAATTTCAGATCGATTGGACAGGTAGAAGTGTGTTAAATATCGATTATAAGATTTGCAGCAGGCAAACAAATAACAAGGAGTGAAGTTGAAGAGAAGTGCTGTAAAAAATGAACGTAGAGTTGGTCGTATTTGAACAAATCGCCCATATTGATTGCCTAAATAGTTTTTTCATAAACGTTGTAATATGACTTTGATTGCCAGAATAATGTTATTTATATACGTTATATAATGTCTTCAAGCTCGAATAGCTTCGATTGCCGGAATAATATTATTTATGGACGTTATAAAGCGAATTTGATTGGCAGAAGTAACGTTATTCATGTCAGGTTATAATTTGACCGTTATATAACGTAATAACGTTATAATAAATGGTGTTCTTCGTAGGCGTTATAAAATGTATTTAGATTGGAATAGCTTTTATTGCTGGAGTAATTTTATTAATGGACGTTACATATTGACTTTTCACGAATCTAAATGTCGTTAGAAACTGTACTTATGATGCTGCCCGACGAGATGAATATTCTTTAAATCGACAGTTTGAGCAGTTTAAGAGCGACTAAATTATATCATTCAATATTTGAAAGTTAAATTAACCTGGCAGCCCTTATTCTTCTTCAAAATATGTCAGAAAATAACCTTATTCCACATTTCTCTTTAATCCTCGTTTCAGCTGACACATGTTGGGGCCCGGTCAGAGTTATACCAGAACAAATTACCACATAAAGATGAGAACACCTGCAAATTCTAAATCTATATCATTAAACAACACTCAACAGGTGCGCTCTAGAGCAGTTTTATATATTCGTTTATGTTCATGTTACACATCGATACGCGGGTAACACAACATACGCATTATGCAAAGAGGAACTTCACTGACTGATCAATGCCAACTTGGTCAACTTCAGCACCAAATTGGCCTAAACGAGAGTAACTTCACCTGCCAACCAATTGAGGAACATGCAAACCGAACTACCGAATTACCTCCGCTGCGCCAGCATTTGGCTTCATTGAACTTGAGTTATATTATTATGCTCCAAAATAACGTCGCTGAATGTACATTCAATACACATACACAACGTTGAACTACGTGTTTACTTGTGTCATAGTCGCAGTCTTGCTTCTAACGTGCAAGTAAGTACATTATACTACTGAGAACTTGTAGAGGCTTCCCATGTAATGGGAAGAACCGGGAACCTGCGAACTTCTTCCGCATCACTCAGCATTGTCCGGATTATAGAATTTTCTTATAGTAGTCAATGGCTCGTGTATTATCGCAAATCCTGCTTTCGCTTCTGCAAGGACAGGCTTAGCTGACAGCTTAGCAAGTATCAGCGGATGTCGATACGAGATCTCCTGCTCGTCCAGCTAAAAATTGGGCTGGTTGTTTGCATGAGTTTCGAGCGTATCAAAATTCAATTTGTATGCACGGAAATGTTTTATTATTTACATTGCAATGTTTCCCAATACAAGTTTCAGACCACTTGAATGCTAGAACCGCAAATCGACTACTAATTTACAGTATTAGCGGGAGAAACGCTCACAAAATTTATGATATCTATTATGAAAAAGTTTCGACTACCAGATTCAGTATGGGTTCAAAAATTATCAATTTGTTCAGACACCTTTACTTACAAAGCAGATCTGAATCCAGTATTCGAATATTCACAAGATGAGACTGAATAATGAAACCCTCAAATCCATCGAACAAAGCAATCAGTCTGCAATTTAATGAATACGAGCTAAAGGTGACATTTAACCTAGGTTTATGTTAATAAATTTATAGGGATCCTAAAAAAAGAGCTTATATCTTTACTCTGTTAAAATTCCAAATTGACCAAAAATTTTTGAATCGAATAAAAAGCCATGTATATTAACAATATCTTTAATGAAAAAGTTTACGATACCAGCTCTATTATCGGTTGAAAAGCTTCAAGAACACAAGTATAGTCAATAGATCGATCAACTTAAATCAATAGATCGATCAACTGAAGAAATTAACACCTAACTACCGAGTAGACGGGTGGAAGAAGGCAGAACATACCGATTTACAATCTCAAGCGTTCATTCTTCGCACGTTCATTCTGTAGAAAAGCTTTAATATCCAACTTGTTAATTTGGTCACTCAATAATTTATATCTGCATACTTTACGTTTTTGAAGTCAGCTGGGATCTAGTTAATTTCCGAAATATTTTTACTGAAGATATACTGATTTTGGATTCCCTTTCTGTTTTCCTCCTTTTAATATTCTGGAGGATCTGAAGTTCCCCTATCAGAGACACCGAAAGAGGGAGCTTAAATTTCATACCACCTTAAGTTCATCTTTTTGTGAATTATGATTTTAAATAAAATAAAAAATTCTTGCTGCTTGAGTTGCGTTCGCCCGTACCCGTGTTTCTGAACATACTATATAATTTGCAAATGGCTTTCAAACTTTTTTGATTGAATAAGGCGATAGTAATCACACACTATCATGCCATCCTCCATCATCAGCAACCACACACTATCATGCCATCACCCATCATCAGCAGCCACACACTATCATGCCATCACCCATCATCAGCAGCCACACACTATCAAACCATCACTCATCATCAGCAGCCACGTTATAGCCACTCGTTTAGCGTCTTTAGCAGCCACTTGTTACCGTTATTCTCACTCACGGGTGTTTAGTGAAGTATTCCACAATAAATTGGTGAACCAGTTTTATGAAGCAAGCTCATTAACATTATCGATAATATAAATCTAATGATGGAAAAGACTTTTTGAAGCGTGAGTTTAGGCTGGAATATCAAGCTTAAAGATCGTTCAGCATTTACAACTCATGTTTTTATATAAGGATTTGACTTATGTATAAAATCATTTGCAAACGGTAATGCAACCGAAGTATTTCATGGATAAAAGAAATATATTGTGCATCCTATCGTGTTGTGTAATCCACGGGTTGTGTTGATTTATGATCATGTATTCCTAGAAGTTGACCTCTGGAACACTTGCCATTGCTCTTCTCTTCTGTTTACACGGGACGCTCTCTCAAATAAGGCAAGTCACACACAAGCTTCATCTCGAACAACTTGAGATGTCAGTTGATCAACTTCAAGGTTTGAGATTTAAAATAATCCCTATGAAAAATTATCATAGTTAGCCATAAGGTGATCCTAATTTTATTCTCAATTATTCTGTGTCGTGTTATATCAGGAGAGGTTTAATAGATAAGCAATCATCAAGTCGTATTTCTGTTTAAATCCTTATTCAAAATGGATCATGTTTTGAAATTTTATAGACATGAATTAAAAGAGCTCATAGAACGGCAAAAATAAAGTTCAAACTGTAATTTCTGAACATGGAAAGACTTTTGACCGCGGCAACAATTTATTGAACCCTGAATCGCTGAAAAGTACTCTAATTTACCTCACCGTGACTTACTTTGGCAGTTCAGACGTGTCCAGAAGCAGAACAGATTTGTCCGTAGAAATTTTTACTCCATGAAATAACTTGAGTTCACTACAAGTATTTCAAGAGATAGGGCTCATAAAACTGTGGGTAATGATCTATCAACTCCATCACAATAAATGTCACTTGCAAAGTAGTAATACCTACTTCCATGAAATAATACGCACGTGTAATAAAACACTTAGGAAATTCTCAGCTAAAATTATTGTTCGCTGTTCCTGCTTTTTTAAAATTTGAATCTTAAATGACGAATAGCGCGATGCGACGCTGGACAAAAGAACCCCCGAACACCTACCACCTCACAAGTGCAGTGCGCGAGGGCAACTGAAGCTCTTGATGATCGTCAAGGCAGCAGCAGACTCTGTTCTGTAATTGGTCGGTCAGAGGGAGGGGGCATCCGGGTGCTTTTGAGAAGTGATAAAGGTGGCGTCGTCAATTAGCTTCCTGAAACGCTTGACGACGCGTTCTGTCAATATGTACGGATCAACCTTGTTAGGCTCCTTTAGATAGCACGATAGAGGACACGACAATATTAGGGCAACGAGGTAGGAGCATATGGATCTGACATGATTGAACTAACCCTCATTAGAGGGCTCATTTCTATTATAGAAATTTATATTTCTACTTTGTTTAAATCATAAAATCATGGATGCAAATTTTCACAGGCGAATCCGAATCCGGAAGGGTTTTGTACGCTAAGGTCAAAGGACGTGAGCAGCGCTCGGCAGGGCGGCGCTGGAGATCGCGGTGCCGCGGCCGCTGTTGTGCCGCCGTCGAAATGCAGGATTGAGTGAAGGTCGTCGCTATATTGAACGGCGGTCTCTGCTGCGCCCGGACGATCTTCCGCGCCGTGTCGTCCTTATCACTTACACAAAAAACGGATATCGCACTACATCGGTTCGCTGAACGAAGACGCTGTAGCAAGGACTGTCTGTGGCCGATTACAAAAACGACAGCGCTGCCGGCGACGTCATAACTAATGTCCTTCGAGAGAACAACGGACAGAACAAAAAACCTGTCGCTATTTGACATTACATTACATAACTGCAGTGGCCAGCTCAGAGGAAATAGTGGGTATATTATAAAGCAATATCCCAGACACTTTGCACCGTTCGGATTTCATTCGTAAGTTTTTTATAATAAAATTGCTACAAATAATCCGTTGCTCAGTTGTGTGGCGTAACTCGAGGGAAGGTGTATTATTCATGGCAGAACATTTCAGAGAGCTATATATACGCCTTGTGTTACTGTTTATTTCCGAAACGTAGAAATAGATTAATAACTGCATTTTGAATGCAACCTTTTGTATCAGACTTGAATAGGAAAAGAGATTTCTGAATGCATGACATCATTTGACGAAACTTTAGCATGACCACCATTTGACTTTATAAGTGGAATTTTGGAATTTTGAATTTTAATAAGTATAATCTTGGCCCAACGTTATTAACAACATTAATAGTTGTAAAAGTGGATCGATTGTAGCACAAGTGCTCACCAGTGACCGTCTGTATATGTGTCCTGCAGAGATTCAGCTTCGCTATCAACCTGAATCAAATTCCTAATCCATCTCTCTGCAGGAAGCCGTTCCATTAACCAAAGCCTCGATGTGCCGAGGGACGTTTGGGGAATTGTTCCGGCGCAGGTGAGAAATGCTGGGCCAAACATGCGTTCGTTATGCCAGCTCGGCCAGCACTAATACCCTTACGCGGTGATCTGTTGAATGGCAATGTACACCAGTCAGGCTACTAACGCACTCAGTTGGGCTCCAGACTTAGTGATTGATTCAACTTGGTAATTAATGCCACGAACTTATTCAATATACGGCACCAGACTTGTCATTGATGCTACGAACACACTCAATATGGCACCACTCATGTCATTGATGCTACGAACACAATCAATAGGGCATCACACTTGTCACTGATGCTACGAACACACTTAACAAGGCACCACACTTGTCATTGATGCTACGAACACACTCAGTAGGGCACCACACTTGTCACTGATGCTACGAACACACTTAACAAGGCACCACATTTGTCATTGATGCTACGAACACACTTAATAGGGCATTACACTTGTCATTGATGCTACGAACACACTCAATATAGCACCACACTTGTCATTGATGCAACGAACACACTTAATAGTAATAGGGCACCACACTTGTCATTGATGCTACGAACACACTCAATAGGGCACCAGACTTGTCATTGATGCTACGAACACACTCAATATAGCACCACACTTGTCATTAATGCTACGAACACACTTAATAGGGCACCACACTGTTCATTGATGCTACGAACACACTCAACAAGGCACCACACATGTCATCCATGCTACGAACACACTCAATATAGCACCACACTTGTCATTGATGCAACGAACACACTTAATAATAGGGCACCACACTTGTCATCCATGCTACGAACACTCAACAAGGCACCACAATTGTCGTTGATGCTCAATGCGAGGCTCGTGTCTGTTTCGTCACTGTTACTTTTAAAAGAATCCGACTCTCAATTTAATGCAATAGTGTGCAACAGCATGAGATTTGCTGAAAGGGATGAAATTTGTGCAAATGATAACTTCATGAGTAGGATGACATCGAAGTTTAGCTTATGGCTGGATTAGTTTACAATTCAGTTCTCATTGTATCAATAAATGACTATCGTGCTGAAAAATAAAATTAGGAAACAACGCTCGTTTGCTTAGTGATCCCTGCCCCATTGTTCGAGATAAATTATGCCTCCGGGCGTAACAATTCTTTATTATAAGGAACATGGCCCTTAGTTTAAGAGCTTTTGCTTCGAAGACGGCATTTTTGTCATGGAATAAGCTTTAAAAGAAAATCATACGAAGCACTCAAAAGCATTCCGTCGCAAAAACATTTTCATGTCGATTTATAAATCGAATGATCATATTTCTTCAACAAATACTCTATCAAGTTCATATGAGAGCATTTCATGACTAAGAAGTGAAACACTCGCTCGGATTATAGATCCTAGATGTCTTATGTCTCGCACAGCCGCCAGTTCGCAGTGCATGTTGCACCCACAGAGCTCTCCAGATGCCAATTTGGACAAGGTAACAAATCGCAATTCAGCCACAGAGAATTGGATTTTTGTCCGACTCAAATCGTGGAATTATTGTCATGGATATAATGATATTCTACTATCAAAATATTTTGGCAGTAGTGTCAGCTTCCGTAACGTTAAGTTAAACGTCACCACCTATAACTATTTGGTGTTTGGTGTCAGCCAATACACCTTGCAAGAATTCCAGTCATACAAGACGCTTGAAGCTTACAAGAAATCTGTGGATGGATGGGTGCAGGAGATATACCAAACCAGCCAACTGCAACAACACAGTCATTGCTGCCGAGGTGAGAATAATGGATCAGATAATGGAGAATAATGGAACAGATTTTGCCCCTGGAAAATATACGAGTACAATATTGTATATCATAAATATTCACGGCTGGTAAACTGATATACGATATATAAACTGATACGATATACCGGTACACGGCATTCACGGCTGGTAAACTGAAGAAACGTATTCCTATCCAGTTTTCTGTTTAAATCGTCGTGAAAACGACAGGTGCATCTAACAACGGTGCAGTAGCATCCCATCTTCCAGCAAAAACTTCAAAAGGAGACAAGCACAGCCGATAGAAAACGTTGGCGAAAACTAGACCATGCAACAAGTATGGTGGCCGATCCCACACTGCATTTCGCGATTTGGTGCCGTGACGTTATCCTGTCGAAGCCGATACCTTCCTGCATGAATAGCTCACCGTGTCATATCTTAAATAATTTCTAGTTTAGATTTACCTCTATTTCCTTTCCCTTATTATAGCGTTTGGAAAATTAAACAAACCGAAATTACTCTGACATTTTATTTACTTAAAACTAGTCCCGGTTGTCACTGAGACAATATTCGGACAGTAGCTGCGCCGCTGATGTGGTGGGAGATTGCTTCAAATTCTTTATCCTAATTTTTTTCGTATATAGTTATTTTACGTAAATTTTTATTTGCAGCTCACCTATTATTCACTTCATACATATCCTTCTTCGTCTCGGGCATCAATATAGGACCGTCGACGTGAACGTGCGCGCGTGACTTTATTGAACAGAAAATTAGCGACGACACATAGAATTATGAAAAGTATTAATCACCTGGACACAATGCACAGGCTCCACTACTAAATAATCTGCTTTTCCTCATTTATCACTCGCAGAGCAATTTATATAGCTGTTGCACTAGGCTATGGGGTGAAGCTTGCAACATTCCAAACATGATGTTTTAATTATGTTTGCCGATTGTTTATCGCAATTTTTAATGAACCCATCCTATTCAAAAGCAATTAGATAGGCTGAAAATAATGATAACTGGTATGATATTATATATATATCAGCTAGATACGGTACGAATAGGTACAACTAATATATGTAAGTATAAGCACGGGAGAGCTTGGACTGTTCTCCGTATCACTTCCAATAATTAAGCAAGGCGCTCTCGCACATCATACTGAGCTTGCCATGGTGTTGGCAGGAATGCTGAACGATCAGGAAAGTGCTTCAAGCATGCCGCTTTTTAGAAGGATCTTGCTTGGGACCATACAGCGTCGCCAGATAAGTCGCGCGCCGATGAATTGAAAAAATGGGGCAGCCTCTAACAGGTTACAATGTATCGTTTGGGAAGCGCCTATCCACTTTACGTTTTTATTGTTTGTACCTTTATGTATAAACGGTGTGAGAAATGCCTTAAATAGGCTTTATATCTGAGTTCGAGACGACCCAACTAACTATATTATTAAAGTTTGACAAAGTCCATTTAAACTCGCTCGGACACTAAAACAAATTTGGTGTCGTTTCTTTTCATTAGCTTCCAATGGTGAATGTTTTTCCATTATCTTATTTATTCTTGTCACAAGCTGGCCCCAAAACAGTGACTTTGCAGATGGACGCCGGCCACAGCTATTGGTCGAAGCAAGAGGACAAGAGGGCCTCTCATCAGGAAAGGATTTATGATGGGACAACAGTTTCGCCTATAGAAAGCTTAGGCTATCTATGCATGCTAGAGCAGGCGGGTGCTGGAAGCTGTGATTTGCATCAGATCTGAAAATCAAAAATCATTCATTTGTTAGGTAGTTGTCCTAGTTATTATTTTTTGGAAATATTCAAGAAAGGTGTGGTTCTAAACATGAATATAAAATGGATTTTTATGAGAAGAGTGAATGTGATATACCGGTAATTTTTTATGTAACGATATCAA